ACTGGTCAGTCTTGTTTAAACTGCAATGATAATATGCAGAAATTTGGTGGAGTATTTCTAACTTAGTCCGGCTATTATTGTTCCAATGCTTCTCAGCGTACCTAAAAATAAAACAAAACAAGAGAAAGAGAAAATGAATGTAGTCTGGGAAAGGAAATAAAGGAAAATGCCTCCACAATTGCAACACAAGAATGCAGGGAGATGCGATTTTCAGACTTATGTGGTCCCAAATCTGTTTTAACGCCAAAGAAAACACTGAATCTGCCTGTAGTTCCTTTTTCCAGAGCTGCACCAAGCCCCAGGCGGGGACAAGCAATGTGTATAGAACACAGCGAGAACCCCCCTTGGAAGTTCACCACCAGCGAAGCCGCCTGGGCCACTGACAGTGCTCCGGGCTGGGAACCCCCAGAGATGGGCTCCGTTCCTGCGCCTGTCCCTGCTTCGCTACCTTGGGAAAATCACTTCCCTCTCTGTCTCCGTTCACCCTCCGCCGGGTGCGGAGGATGACACTAGCTTCCTTTGCAAAGGGCCAAAATAATCTGCGAATGGAAAGACTTTGAAGAGGGGCAAATAATTGTTACTGCATTGCATATTCATACAGAAAACCAGAAACGAATGAACGGAAGACAGCAACGGCTCTGCTGAGATTTAGACTGGCTTCCCACAATATTTTTGGTGCATGACATCCACCACTTTTAAAGAACAAATCGGGACTATAGAGACCCTCTTGAGGGAGCTCCTTCATGACAGCAGCAGTGTTCTGCGTTAGAGGCCATGGGAGAAGCCGGGAGGAGCAAACCTCGCTGAGCAAAAGCTCCTCAAGGCACTGATGAACTCTGGCCACCATCACTCCAGCGAACGGAGCTAAACCACCTCCACCTCCCTTACTCTCAAGCACAACTACATCACCTCCAGCTTCCTCACTCCAGAACTGATGATGCTTTTCCCCACTAATGTTAGAGGAGCTGCAATACGCTCGCAAGGCACAGTTTGCAGGCTGCCTTGCAAGAGAGAGCAACTTCCCAGCTGTCTTGCCATGCGCTACGTTTAATGTGCTAATGGGGCACCCCAAGGTTGGTTGAGATAGAGAATAAAGAAACAGGCATATGCTGGAATGTACAACTCAAGCGAACGGCAAAATTGCTCAAGTAAATTGCTCAAACAAATTAAGCTTCTGCATTTATCCGTATTTTCCCTAGCTATACAATTCTTCTGGGCGATACATCATCACCAGCCTCTTCTCTCCCAATTACTCAACGTAAAGTGAAACCGTCTGGTTTAACAGCGTCTTGCAAAGATGATAACCGATTCTCCCTCGCCTTTCCCTCTCTCCCAGATAGTAGGCAACTTCACAAATTAATTACGGCATCATTGGGACTTTATGTTTATTTCAGGATACAGACCGTTATAGCTTGCTGCTGCTGAAGACTCCTCTAACAAAATCCAAAGATTTACAAACCATACACAACACACACTTTAAAAACATCCCAGGCACACAGAAGACTATGCCATCCCCTAAACAGAGTTCCCTGAACATCTCGCTTCTCATTAGCTACAAATGCAAAGCAAAAGTGATAATTTAGATATGCCATGTGACAGAGATGTCACAAAGTAATTATTTGCTAAAGATAAATACCTCTACTTTGTGGTATTTAGGTTCAAAATATACACAACTGAGGATTTTAGGTATAAATTCTTTAATGTAGCTACTCCTGAGACTGGCTGGCAGAGGGTATATATGCCATTACAAACCACACCGTTAACCTTCTTTCACTGAAGTAAAAAGGAGCAGTCTTACCAACACAGTCTCTCAGAGCTCTGCAGCCAGTGGCAGAGCTAAAAGGTGCAGCACAGAAGCACAAACTTTAAATGTCTTTTGGACCTACCAGTGAATTTTTTTAAAAAAATAAATCCAATCCCAGCTAATGAGGTAAACTACCCACAACTGGCAAACAGAAGAGAAAGACACTAGGGTACTCTCAGTGTGTGTTAAAGCAGATTTTAACACCTACTGGACAATCTTTACTCAAGACAGGGTATATGCTGCCCACTATGCACCGGTGGAAGAATTCTTCCTTTCTGATTATTTGTATCTTCAAAGACACTTTTTGAATATACAGTTTGGGATTATTTATACGATTTCACTTTTTTTTTTTTTTTAAATAGAAGCAATCAGAACAAGAATAATTAACTGGTTTTGCCATATCTAACTCTATCATTGTTATCATTCCTTAATTGAAAATAGTGTATCAAAAGGTAGGGGAAAAACAGGATGTCAAACAACTATAAAATCCCTTCTTTTTAGAACAGGAAAAACATTTAGATTCAGCAAGTTCTCACTAGAAATATTGCTATAAAGTATTGATTTCTTACCAGACTCAATTGACTGAAAAGTTGTTTGTATAGCAATATTGGCCAAACCAATATACTGGAACAATTTTGCTACACACAGTAATCAAGTGTATTTCTAAAGTATAATTATACTGTCATAAAAATAAAGCTAAGATACCTCTTCTCCAAGCAATAAAACAGTTGCAGCTGTAAAGAACCCAAATAAATGAGATACATTTTCTAACTAAACATAGCGTCGTCCAAAGAGAACAAAACCACCTCCCCTCTCCCCCCTTAAGCCAAGGTTAGCATGAAAAGTGATCAATACTTCAATCTCAATAAAGTATTTCAATAGTAGTTAATTCACATGGAAAGAGAGGCTGAAAATTTTTGCTCAGCGACCTGCGACACGCTATCTTGTTTGCTGAATGCTGATAATATATCATTGCCATAATGGATATGACTTAGTATAAAGAGCTAGAAAGAAAGAAAAGGAGATACCACACAGACACGCTCGTTCTTTACATTCAGATCAATACTACACACAGCCTCTTCTGAAACAAACTGACAGCACCGAATGCTGGAAGAGGAAAACAGCCAAACGTTTGCAATTAATTTTATTTGACAAACGCTCATTGATTTACTGGAATAAAATATATGTGGGCTGCTATCTATGACTAGCGCAATCCAGCTACCTGTAAGTATTCCATTTTGCAATTTCTTATTGGCTTGTGTAGCACAGATGCTCCTTTGGCCATGCAGAACAGGCTCCCTTTTACGAAGGGGTGATTGTTCCAAGGTAGGAAGGTCTGTCTGTGCTTTGCCCAAAGCACACCACCACGGTGCCGTAACTGCCAACTCCCTGCAACAACGGCAACCAGCAGCTCTTCAGGGATGAGAGAGCGAAGTTGTACAACTCTTCAATCCAACGCACCAGAAAACAAATTCAGGAACATCTAAGAGGAACACATAGCTCCGAAGCCAGTTTGGGGAGAAAAACGCATTTCGTATTTATATCCTGCTATTATTTGAATTGCAAAGAAAGTCAGACTTCAGGAATGTGTAAACATCCCCACGTAAAAATGGGGCACATTCCCTGGAGCAGTGCAGAGTGACACCCGCACTGGACAAAACACTGTGAAGTCACTGCAATGGCTAATTTAAAATATGAATGCAATAAAAAGGAAAAAGAATAGTAGAAATATTTCCCCAATAGAAAAGAGGGCTCATGATTCTACAGGTAAATTTTTTGACTTTCCCAAATCGCAGGCAAATGCAACACTCAACCACTTAACCACTACACATGTGGGTTCCCTCACTTAGGGACAAGGAGCATCCCTCAAACTGTGCCTCAAGTGCCTTCCACAGGGACCAGAGCACGTGGCCTTCCTTCGCCATGCTTCTCGCACCTACATCCACTGCCGGAGCCTCCACCAATACACGGGGAAGGGAAGCAACCTTCTCTAAATCAGAAAACATCACGCAGTCACTGACTGAGCTGTAAAGTTCAACACACTCTCTCAAATCTTTCTTATTATAAAGTAAGAAACCAACGCTGTTTCTGCAAGTTTCCTGGTCTAGGAGTATCTTTTTACAAGTGAACATCAATGAGACTTCTCAACTGCATTCCATCTACAAAGCTAACCTGATTTCTGAAGAGTCCATTCAAAGACGGGATTTGTTCCTTTAAGGTGTGGGAAGTCCATTTTCATGAAACCTTCTGCAAGGAGAGTCGTTTTGCAATGTTGGCAGCCAATTAGAAACTAAACTAAATGCACTGTAGCTTTTAAAACATTTTAAAAAAATGTTAATATCAAAGTTAAAATGTGTAAGGTATAAACAAAATCATAATGGGATGCTGGGTTACTGTATATGGTAAATAGCTCTCCGGAGGAAACCTTTATTACTCCCTCAGGGCTTTCTTACAAAGTATGGATTTCTTAATTCCTACTGGAATATTTTTCATACACCACTGCAGACTATTAAGTACCAGATATTACATTATGTAGTTTAAACTTTGCACTATGCATGAGAAAGACTTTCCTGTCGAGAAAACTATATCTCTGCTATTATAATCTTTACAATATTAAAATTAATATTGGCTGCAGGGTATAAGCTTCACTACCAAAATTTGGGGGAGTTTAGCATTTAATATATTCATCAGCTTGTGCGTGAAGCTGCTCGTAAGGGAGGGAAGTCACTGCAACAGTGAAAGGAGTATTTACTAATTTTGAATCGCTAGAGAAAGGCTGAGCAATGGTGTCATCGCGTCCCACCGGTGGCGTTCTCAGTCCTGGGCCAGCAAAGGGCGTGGTGAGCCGGCAAGAATAATGGCATTGCAAAGACTGAAGGCAATTCATTACGCTTCAGGAAATTTCAAGTTCCACTTGTGAACCATTAAGTTGTTACCCAGGAGGGATTCAAAGCTAAGTCTTAAAAAGATAATAAAAATGCACCAACCCCACGGCACCCGAGAGCAGATACCTTGTAAATATGTAAACAGAATTCTTAAAAAGTTTATAGTAAGAATTTATTTTATAATCTTTTTTGCACAGCAGCAATGGCCCACCTACATCTCCATACAAATATGAAGGGTAAAAAAAAAAAAAAAAAAAAAGCGTGCTGTTAAATTTTATTTTCAAAAATTTTAAGTGAAATTCAACACTCACTTGTAGACTGTGCCTCCATTGCCATGACCGAGGATGTCTCGATACTGTATGTCTTGTTCATTCATCTCCACAAGAAAGAAAGAAAAACAAAAGAGATGTCATGCTGTGGATGGAAATGTCAAGGAAAAGCAACTCTAGGCCATAAACAACAAGCAGTCTGGGTCATTTCAAGTTCAGCTGCAAGAACGAGAAGATCAATACAACATTTGCTGTCCAATTTATAAAAGACGATACCAAGGGACAAAGTGATGGAAAGTTTAATGACAATTTGTTTGCCTGGGTCATTTCATTAAAGTTTGATAAAAGGTGTCAAAATGGAATGATATAATATAGCTCAAGAGGGTCAGGTCACAGATACTGATAGGAAAAGGGTCTCCAGAACAGCGCATAACCAAAGCCAAAGTTGGAGGTGAATGGAAACAATCCAACAGAAAACTGTCATCTTAACTATGGCTAGAAAAGTTTCTGATTTATTCCGGAATCAGCATAATTGATACTAATTGAGTGACAGTTCTGTCAGTAGAACTGCTTCATAGTGCTCCATTTATCTACCTTTTTAACTAAAGCAAATCTTCGGAAATAAATAGTCTTGTTGAATTGCTATCCAATAAAAATAATTTTCCTTGAAATACACAACTAATTTTGCTTGCCTCAATCTTTCTGTTCACTGGGACAACTCTCCAGATATGACGATATCCTCAGATATTCAAGCAGAAGCCTGATACAGCACTGTACATTGCAAACGCTGGAATTTGGAATCTTGCTCATATGGCTTTTAGAAAAGCTTACTATATTGCTGAATGAGCAATTCAAATGTGAAACTACAGTTCAACCTTCTCTTGCACAAATACAGTTATACTGATTTTCCACCTAAACCACCTATTAAAAAAAATAAAATATCACTAAACACATTTTTGCAATGCACGCGTGTACTTGAAAATTAATATTTTAATCAGAAGAAATTCTGGGCTGTACGCATTTTCTATTCCAAAAGGATGTCCCATTGTCTGATCCCCGCAAGTAGTAAACGATTGAGCAAATCCCATTTTTCAAAGATATTTTCCTAGGAAACATTAACTCATTTCTAGCAACTGTTTCTACTTTATGGGATACCAAGTTAACCATTTCACATGAGTTGGCACGGCTGCTTGAAGACTGTCATTTTTGTGTGTTAAAGGCATCAAAAAAACCCCTAATGATGTCTGGCCTGCTATCGCTGATGTGATTAGAGATCACGTAAGCACATCTGAGATAGCTTCAAATTAGCCATTTCAAGTACCTCGTGCAGCACGGTGAGAGCCGTGCAGAGCTCGCCACAAGCCAACTATCTGTATTTATCCAACTTCTGAGACGGCTTCTAAAATTCAGTGGGGACACGTGGCCTTCAGATACTAAGCCCTGTTTAAGCATCCCCTTTCGTATGGTGACAGTGGAGATATGAGGAACTTTGCCCCTGGCTTCAAGTGGAACAAGTAAGTGATGGTAACAAGCTGCAATGCACTAAAGAGTCAATACTCAGCATGTCTTACCAACAGAAAACAGAATATTTAATTGATTTCAAATAATATGTTTTAAGGACAGAAATTATGAACTCCAAAATTTGTGTTCTTGCCTTTCACTACTGCTTGTTTCTCACTGGAAATACCACGCGTTTCTTCCAGTGAGGTTGAAATCTCCGAGTTCTGAGAAAAATTCTGAGGAAAAAAAGTTCTGAGGGGGGAAAAGACTAAAAAGACATGAAATACCTCAAAGCAGAAGTTGACTCTATGTTATTAGCAATTTGTAGTTAAACCTGGGCCAGATATCTTAAGGGGGTATGAAATGACCCATTCAAGTACCAAGGTTTATGATGAAAACGAAAATTTATTTGACTACTGAAAGTTATCTTACTTATTGCATCAATCAGAAAATGCAAATAAAGAGGGGGGAAAAGACACCTCATGAGGAACAATAATTCATGAACAGGTTTAAAAATATGTAAAGAATCTATACGGGATCCCTTGCACTGAAAATACTTTCTCTCAGACTCATAATTTAAAGCACACACTGTGTTTAAGGAGTTCTGCTCTTCTAAGCTGGAGAACTTTAATTCTCAAGTCTTTGAGGTAACAACAAATGTCTCTTTTCCGTATTCCCAGCAATGTTCTTTTAAACAAAACTCTTAAAAGAAATCCAATGAATCCACAAAGCCATGAACATACTTGTGTCTTTGCTTCTTGGGGGAAAAAAAGAAGAATTTTTTGCAGTTACACAAGTTATAAGCAACAAATTGAGCAGAACCAGAGACATAAAGTGTATTCTCCTTTCTCCTGCTTTTTGCGAACTGGTAGGGGAGAGTATTTTCTTCATGCCATTCCCTAGAAGCCAGAGACAGGACTGCGATGCTGCGCTGCTTGCGCCCGCCGCCAGCCCAGCACCAGTCCTCATCTCCCTGCACAAAGAGCACCCAGAAACGCAGGGTGAAATCGGAAGACCGGGGTGGAGAGAGTATCTGCCAGCAACGGATAGAGAGATAAAGTGTGATTTACTGGCTCAAATAAAGATGCCAAAAACATGTGGCGATTTATTTATTTTACGGGGAAAACTGGATTCTCAATCATAAAATGATAACATAATAACAATGAACTCGACGGTAAGGACTGGAATATTAAACCTGCAAAACCAAGTTTGATTGGATGCCAATATTAAGAGAATTAATGAATAAGCGAAACAGACTTCAATTACGGATCAGCAAACAAAACATCCCTTGCTTATACCTGCTGCTTTTGAAAGAAATCAGAGTCTCTCTCTTGTAAATCATTAAAAACAAAATGGTCAATTAATCCTTATTTTATATGTAGAGGTCTGACAGAAGCAAAGTCCTATAGCCATACCTTTGCTTTACGAATCGAAGCAATAATGGTTTCAGAAAGCAGTCACACTCTATGAGCAGACAATTGAAGAGATTTAGTAAATCCCACTTTATAGAGCAGAGACTAATCGGAAAACACAAGCCAGTCAAATGTTTCTTATGAACTGTTGACACTATATCAATGCTGAATCAATTGGTGGCATTTACTCTGAGTGACAGAAAAGAAATAAATATTTATATCGCATCACCTATATCAATGAACCTAGGCAGAAAGCTATTTCTAACCTGTCAATATTTGATTATGTTGAAGAATCATGTCCCCTTCTTTTAATGATTAATATGAATTCCTTATTAAACCTAAATGGAAACTACTAGAGGAATATCATTATGCATGCCTGAAAGCATAAACTGCCAAAAAAATAATAAAAAATAATAACCCAAGCCATATTTAAGTAATGATAAGTGCGACTTAATCCCCCAAAAGGGGGAAAAGTTAAAGTTACAACTAGAAACCTATTTCCAGTTACGGATCTGTGACCAAATTTTGCAGAACAGAATGCTGCAGTAACAAACAGCATTTTCTCTTGACAGAAAGCAGTGTAATTCCTATCAGCCTAGGGTGAATAAAAGGTAGCATTAAAACTTATCTTGAATTTTCTCTTTTTTTAAATGGTTTTTAAGTAACATTTTTACTATCATAATAAGAATTTTGGTTTCTTTATCTCTTTCTAAAATTCTATTACACAGGAAAGAAATCTGTAACAATCTATTGCAGGGGACACAAAATACTGATTTCTATTACTTAGAACAAATGCAGCTTATGGACTCAATCACAAAAAGATGGCTTCTCACGTTCAGTAATTCTACCTTTTAAAAAAGTTAGTAATATCGGGATAATTATCAGTTTCATTTTAAAACTTCAGAAGCATGCTGCTGGTACTTACATAATTTTACGTTATCCAAAGAAATACATTGTTCAGCTCTAATTTTGAAGCATTAACAAATCTACCTGGCAGGAATCTGTGAATATTAAACTGTGCCTGCACGTAAGGAATGCTGACAAGCTTAAAAATACATTTCCAAGCTGTATTCAAAGGATTCAGTGCCAAATAGGCAAGGCTGCAATACTGGGCTGTTCAACTCACGTTTTAGAGGGGCACTCTCATCTATTAGACCACAACGTTACAGGTGATACTGAAGGACAAGCACGAAGACCAGCCTTTATCTTCTTGACACGCTCAACTACAACTACTTGATTCATGAAATGCCAATGAGGCTTGGAGAGGTCATTGTGTGAAGGCACTGAATACGCATCTGAGATAATTAAGATTTCAGCCTTCGAAACATGGAGGGGAAGTGAACAGCAGTTAAGAAAATCAATAAGAGTCTTTTATTTGCAGTGACACAGATGTCTCAGTCAATAGAGCCTAATAGGCAAGCTTGATCGCAATGGACAGGTGCCTGCCTCCAAGGCTATCAAAGGGCTTTCACTATGACAAACATTAAAACATATTTATGTTGCTGCTGAAGAATCCGGGATTCTTTTAAGGGAGTTTAATTTAACGGTGTATATTTAATGTCATTACACTACTGCAAGCCTGCCCGTATGTTCAGCTCAAAATGGGTAAGAAATGATTGCTCCGTATGTCCAGGACATCCACTTGTCCATCAATTGTTCCATTAAACCTTTCACTTCTGGCTGCCAGAATGTGAATGCCTGGAACAGGATGAGAGAGTAACAAGGCAGCTTTCTACAACTTTGAGGTTGTGGGGTTTTTTTTGTTTAGTTTGTTGGGTTTTGGTTTGGGTTTTGTTTTTTTTGTTGTTGTTTTTGTTTTTAAGAAGCTACAACATAAGGTGATTCCAAATAGTACAGAGCAGTTCCTTGCAAGAACCTGCTAAATATTTAAGTATCTACTGCTCTGAAAAATACGAAGGTCATTCTAACTGAGCAGTTGACTTAGTTATTCAAAATTGATTAACTTTCTTCCCTGAAATTGTGGCAGCAGCGCAACATGTGTGAGGTACTTCAATCTATTCGGAGCTAAATCTGATTAGCACGTTTTGAGAAATGGGAAGCAAATTGCTATGCCAATCAAAGTAAATCGGGACACATAACTCATTCATATCATGAAGGTTTTCATGGTCCCTCCAGTTCTGTATTAAAAGAACACATTACAACTAAATGAGCAGTAAGCATCTCTCCACCTATTTGTGGTATGCCAATCACCGCAGTATTAGGCAGTAACGAGACGCGCGTGTAGCTAAGACTCAATTCAGTGCACCTACCTGGCCATTTGCAAGTATTTTCTTCAGCTCTGCAGAAGACTTTTTTAAGCTGAAAAAATAAGAGGCAATTATTTTTAATGACTGTGCCATTTCACTCTATAAACTGAAGCGAAACCATAAGAAACAACACGCCAGCAAGTCAAGTTCGTGGTGGCATATTCTGAATACATTTAACTTTAGCAATGCTGACTGACGTCCAGTATAGCTCCTCCTCAAACTGCAGGCAGCAGAAATGGAGAAGCAATGAACGTTTAAGAAAATCAATACAATTTTCACCTTTACAAACTAGTTTTTTTAGATACCTGACTATACTACCCTTTGAGATACAACCTATTGTTTGTCAGCTCAAAGAAAAACAAAAAAGAGATACCCTCACACAGCAGGCATTTAAAAAAAACCAGGAAAATAAGGTTCACACCTAGTTTTCACGTGCCTTATCTTGCTTTAAAGCCCCTTAAGGTGTTATCCCTCAACAATCTCTACAGATCTGCAGCAGAAGGGTGCGCTGTCAATGATGCCCCACTACCTCAACTGACCACAGGTCGGAGCACGGTGAGCAGGTGAGTACAACTCCTGATTTAGGCATCTCGGGGACATGCCTAAATTGAAGGGAATGAGTCCAGACTGCCATGCGCACCCATCCCAGGTCAACTTGCTGCAGCAGTCCCCGTGCTTCTTCAGGAGAACCCACTCCTGTGTCAGTAGCCTTACATTAGGCAAAAAGACCCATGTTCTTTTTTTCTAGTAAGGGAACTCGAGCATACCACAACTATCAGCTCGGCGTGTTTTGCAGGTAAAACTATGAATGGCTTTAAACTACTTCCACCTGCTCGCAAAATACGGCTGCACCTCCTTTCCTGACAAACTCTGCTCCCGGTACGTTCAACACAACAAACTGCCTGGGTGGAAGTACGTCTGCAAAACTTAATCTCAAAGCGACATTCTGCTCTTATTACTGAAGTTAAAAAAAAGAAAAAAGTACAAAATAATATATTCTTGAAAGGCATGTGCACGTGTCTTGATCACAGATCATTATTAACAAGAACAGTGAAAACACAGATTTCCTATTTGGTGGCTTTGTTCTTTAATAGGCCTCTTGTTCCCACGACTACTTTAAAGAAAAATTAAGTTTTCCAAGGAAACATAAGTTGATCTTGTCATCTTTCATGACTAACAATTTGTGAACATGAAACAAAGAGAGACTTTCAATTACTTCAAAAACAAAACTCATAGTGCAGAAGGTTTCGGAAAAGGAATGGCAATTAACCACCAAATAAGGTGACAAGAATCTTCTAGAAGCCTCATTTTCAATGCACTTTAAGAACAAGCTCAAAGTACAGGAAGTACTGAAAGCCAAAGCACAACGGCGACAGAAAGCAGCTTTTTTTAGTTCAGTGGCATGATAGATGGGGAGGAGGACTGCAGTTTATAAAGACATTCAGATTAATTTTCCTTGAAGAGTCTTGGATAGGATCTTCCCCATTGCACACAGAGCAAATCCTCCCCAAGGCACGGGGGCAAACCTCGCCAGAGGAGACCCACACAGGGTATTGGCTTTCTTTTTTTATCCCTACAATTAGCAAAGCCGCTAAAGGGAAAAATCAAAACTGGTTTTAGTGGTACTTGAATGGGGCTACCCACTGTATTGCAACTCCAGCACCGCTGCCAGCCACGTGGGGTGGCATCCTCCTCATCAAGGGGTAACCGCATCCCATCACTCCCGCCACGCAGAGACGGGGTTTGCGGGACAGTCCCACCACTGCAGCGGTGTCTGCCAGAACGGGTATCGACACTTCACCGACTGAACACGCTTAATGCAGTATGACTGTGTCTTTGATCATGTTCATCTCTGTCAATTATTTTTCAAAATGCACTCGGAGAGAAAAGGGAGCAGCATGCTGATGCACGGATAAATGTAATGTTATACGCTTATTAGAATAATAGAAGAATTTAGGTTGAAAGGGACCTCTAGAGATTTCTATTCCCACATTTCAAATATGCTCGTATACGAAGAAGATGGAGCCAGACTTTCCTTACTTCCTTTTAAGAACACACAAGGGGGTTTTGTGGGTTTTTTGTTTGTGTGTTTTAACATAAGTATTGAGTATAATGACTTCCCATAACAACTCATATAATGAAAGGGAGTTTATGCTCCAGTATTTAAAAACAGATCTCTAGGAAAAAAGAGTAAGAGTTCTCTTGCTTTTTAAGATCTTAATACGGGTTTTGAAATTAGGACTGGAATCTCAAAAAAAAAAAAAAAAAAAAAAAAAAAAGCGAGATGGACTCCAAAACTTTGCTGAAACTGCATGAAACAGGGCACCTAAGCTGTTCAGATTTTTCAAAAATTGTTTCCCATAATAATAAACTTACAGAAATGGGTATCAAATTTTGAAATCAAAGAATCCTGGAATGAGATAAGCAATGAAGACCTGAACATGCAGATCTTGCAACAGACAGTGATTATTAGATCAACTGAAACAAATTAGCTTACCCATAAAGAGTATTTCAATGCTTTATAAAGGACAAAGCCACCCAAAATACCCAGCAAAGACTTTTTTTTTTTGGCAGAAAATACTTCTCCTGAAGAACCAGCAGCACGCGTCTACCAAGATCCACGGCTCAAGGTAATTTTGTCTGCCCCGCTTCACTCCCGCACACCCAGTAGTCATATTGAAAAAGTTATCCAACATCAAGCTTATCGTTGGTAACTGCCACGCACAAGGTTCCATTTTGTTTTAATGCAAGAAAACAAAACAAAACATATGCTCCCGTTCTTGACTCTTACCTATTGCTTGGAAGGGAATCCGAGACTGCCGAACTGCTATTATTAGCAGACCCGGCTCGCGTATTTACCTGCAGGCAGGGAAAGGATCTTTATCAGTCGTTTGTGTTCAGAGGACACTATTCTAATTAACCTGTAATTTGCCACGAATTTCTCATTTCACTATGAAGGTTAATTAGCTTGTTGCTAGGCATGCCGATGGTTGAGGTCTCGCCTGTATGTAGGTTAGCAGGCTATATAATTCACGGACTGCAATACAGACTATCTTCACATCTTAAACACTTAGTTAAGTAATACGGAAAAAGAGATGATATGTCCACCATTTGTTATCATTTTAAAAACTAAACAATCATTTAATACATTTGTAGTCTTCTGCATTTCAAAATGGGTACAATTACAGAAGCGATAAGCATACCTGAATGAACCTAACAGAATTTCACTGCAGTGCCTTCCACGCTTAGATAAATTACTGAAATCAAATGAATACGGTGAGGCTTTTTAAAATCTTTGAAGTAGTAGTAGACATTATCTGATAAACTGAACATTAAGATTTAGCAACCTTATTGACAGAGGTTAAAAACAAGAAAGGCAATTCCATTTTTAATAAAACTGTATATATAGATATCACAGCCAACACCCAGCAGATGAATCCTTCTCCCACCCTCACAAAAAAGAAAAAAATAAAAAAAATCTGCTTGTCAGAGCTCAAGAAAGTGCAGTTTTATTTGACATTTCAATAAGTGGAACACAGCATTACAAATCCATCTAACTTTACTGAAACAATTATTGAAATTCGTACCTTCAGGCCATGTATGTTCCGTTTCCCAGGAGGCTTGCAGGCTGAAACAGTAATTGACTAAATTGTAGAACACATCAGGGCCATTTACAAATTTGCTCAAAATGAATCTTTTAAAAAGAAATGAGGGTGACACCAAAATTAGCAGAGAGAAATGATTGAAAAGTGCCTCACAAGACCCAGAGTGGGAATTATGAACCAGGATTTTTAACTTGCAGGAGTGAGCATTTATAAATGCTAAGAGCTTTCTGACACCATGTAATATAAATTCTAATTTCTGCTTAAAACACATCAAAATCAAGACAACTGTTGGCTTAAATTATCAGATTCTTTTTGTAATTCAAATTAAAATCAATATCTTATGTCACCGTATTTTCACATGCTGCATTTTTTCTGGCATTTAACAGAAATATTTGCAAGATGTATTTTAAAGGAATCAGCTGCCACACATCATGAATTAGTCATGTTGTCAAATGCAGACAGTTTGTTTTAAACGTGGAAAAAACATGTCAGGGGCAACAGCAGTGACTCTCAAGAAAGCAAATACTGGATAAATGCAACACAAAATGCCACATTTTGGACACAGATGTACAAATGTGGCATCTTATTATGATGTCTAGGTTTAGAGAGGGACATGCTGCTGGAGGAGAAAGCATTCTCCTAAAGTCTCTCGAACTACATATTGCCTTGTTCTTCCATTCGGTGAATGTGCTTTTGTCAAATGTTAAAGCCACAAAGGCTCCCAGCTACATGTTACAGACAGTTCCCATTTTAAAACTACAGTGCCCTACAAATTGTATGTTAAAGGGCCTGTCACTTTTGATTGATTGTCTGAGGAGGGATGAATTTGATTTTTCTCTTTCTCTGATGCACATGCATTTCCCTTCAATTTTTGACAGCAGGAAACAGAACTATTTATTAGTCAGAAGGACACAGATGATAGTTATTAAACACATCAGTTAGGGCCACGCCGTGTGCCTTTAAATGACATTAGGATGTGCATCTTTAAGAAGAAAAATATTATCACACTGGGCATAAAAAACCCACTAGAAAACAATAAACTATTCTAAAATACATATAAGCATATTGTATTTTTTCCCAATAGATTGAAATCAACATTTTGAACAAGATATTAAAAGAACACTATTTTTATTATATGTATTTGAATGGTATATTCACCTTGCATTTCACAATGGTATATTCACCTTGCATTCCACAGATGGTATATATACAACATAGACAGGATATGTGTGTGTGTATGCACACATGCTCTTGTTTATGTACATGCATACACAGAGGTATATTTTCAGTATGAAAAAAGAACTCTGGCTCTTACTACGCAGACAGCAACAATGCATTTTTTTTTTTTTTTTTAAAATCAGACAAAATATCATTTTCTTCCCCTGAAGGACCTTTACAGCATCAAATGGATACAGCACAGCCAAGGTAATGCAGGATGGCACACAGACATTTACTAGTGGCAGGCTTTATGGAAGACACCAGTTTTTGGACGCTGACTGGAGACAGGAACTGGGAGGTGTCCTCAAAAGTAAAAGGCAGAAAAGGACTCAAAGGAAGATTAGGCTTGCAAAATAAGCTCTTAAAAAGGGAGAGCCTTCAATTACAGGCAGAAAAGCTGCACGTTACTGATGGGGCTTTAAACTGCAGTATATAGAGAGACATGGCCAAAAGGGCATGAAAGCAAAGTGCTTGTGCTCACAAAATTTGGGATGTTCATTAGAGAGGCAGGACAAGAAGACAGGAAAAAAAATGCAGGAAAGAGCATTTTGTGTGATGCTGCAGAAAAGCAGCAGCAGAACTTGGAGGGAGTCTGGGTACGCAGGGAGAGCTTTAAATCTGTAACCTAAAAAGAATAGATGCGTTAAGAAGGTGATTTGGAAAGCTGAAGCAGCACCTCAGCTCTGAAGCAATTTAGAGTAAATGGTATGCCACCTACGAGGACATACGAGCAGACACGCGTGTAGCTGAGCCAATGGTGAAAATGTGGAGCTAATACACGGGGACTGTATCCTCAGCAGCACGGAGGTGAATTCTGAATCTGTACAGTCAAAGATTAGAAAAGGGAAACAGCAGCAGGGGTAGGAATCTACTTGGCTGGTTCTTCAGGAACAACCCAAAAGGAGAATCCACAAGGTGGTTAAGCCTGATTGATAACGTCAAAACATCCCTTTAAACACTCAGGCACGCCAGCTACTGAGCACCTCCTGTCACAACTGCCTTGAACTGTTTGCTTAAGGGGAAATACATCTAATTGCCTTGCGTTTCCAAGAAGGGTTTCCCCACCTACCAGGATCACCCACTACATCAGTTTCTCCAAGCCCCGTGAAAGCCCAGCATTTTATTTCTTGCAAGCAGTGGCCGGTGGCTTTAGACAGAGTGTGCGTCAGTAATTAAATGGCCTTCTACAGAAAGAGGGTCAGGAGAAAGGTGGAGACCCTCACATCTCAGCCTGGGAAGCGGCAGAAGATAGCTCACCTCTTCAGAGCTGCCCTCCTACTCCTCTGGGGAGAACACATCACCTCAACAGCTGATTGCTCTGGAGTCCTGCAGCCCAAATATCTGGGGGTCCCCCGCTCTCGATCAGACCCTGCTAGCCTGAGCCATAAAACCCATAATCTCCGTATTCCCCTTGAATTCCAGTCTCTTTTCTGTAGGAGCGTACTAAACTACCAGGAAACTCAGCCTCCTTTTGAGACCTTATTAGCATGTGTTTGAGAAGACTGTTGGTTAATTGCCCAATTCAAACTTCAGAGAGTTGTAAGTAATGGAAGTCGAGAATGTTTAATTGGGAAACTCATAGTATGATTATTTGTATAATATCAGTTAAGTGAGAAGAGTTTAATTTTTAATTATTTCAATTAATTTATTGCTGGGAGATTTACTTGGAGAATTTAAACCTTATCCGTTTCATCAATTAAGAATCAGAGATTCAAAGACTGGATAGTGAGAGCATCTGAATGAATCAGCAGAATTATGCAATGTATTAGTCTTTTTTTAACTATTATTTGAGTTCAGAGAGCACAGTCCATTCCCAAAAACCTAACTAGCTGCCTACGGATTTTTGTTCAGGATGTAGATGACCTATTTTTTAATTGCCTCAGCCCACATAATTGATTACATCTTTCCCTGTTCAGGCGAACTATTAAAGTACTTGTGATCATTTTGATACCACTGCTAAGTGCCCAAATCTCAAATAAAATATGTCACAGATAGAGATTCTGTGACAGACACGTTCCCGTTTTCAAAATGAACAATGACAGTCACATTCCCCAAGTCTGTTGGGCTGATTAATGATATTAGAAGGTCTTAACCAAGCCCAATTTTCGTAAGTATCCAAAACTTAACTTATTCATCTGCTTTGGTTTGAATACATGCAGAACCATCACCAATGAGTTTTTTAAATGTACATAAATACGTACTATGCAAACTGAATCTTGTTAGTCTAATTTACTCCAGTAAATTAGCTATTTTATATGCAATAAATGTAGTTTTCTCTACACTCCCTACAATAATGAATTCTTCTATCCAAATTAAGGGGTAAACATCATGTTATGTGCATTTAAAATTCCCAAAAACATAACTGTTGATGAAACAGTTTACTGATATCATCATTGTTGATTAGAATTTGTTAAGCATTACCTCTTGGATATATCTGTAGAGGCTCTATTAATTGTCCATTTACTTGCTGTTCCATTACAGTGGAGTAATACTGCAAAGAGATTAAAGAAAGAGATTACTCAGTAGTGTATGAATAGCAGTAAGAGCATTTATGGACTGTTTAATTCAATGTTTTTTGGGTTGGTTTTTTTTTTTGTTTGTTTGTTTGTTTTTAAATTGCCATAGTACGTATCAGCCTTTAGAATGCTTTCTTACCGTTTGCAACGTTCACACAACGAAGTGGCACGGGAGGAACATCGGGAAGGGGCTGCGGTGCCCAGCACAGTACTGACTCCAGCACAGGGAGTTGTTATTGGCTCAGCTAAGCAAGTTTCAAGCCCACCTGAAACCTGGGAATGCTTCAGAAGACTGAGCAAATGAAACATTTGCAGCAAACACAGCATTTGCCACACCTGGAGATGCCGGGAAAAGCACTCAAATGTGGAAACAAAGAAATGCTGTAGATACAGTCAAAAACTGCGCAATTAGGAAAACTCCAAGGGAGAAAAGAGTCTGGAAACTCTCCAAGAATTGGCAGCGGTGAAGCGCACTAAGGGCAGTTGGGGCTACATCCCACGTAAGCGGAGATCTCGTCATTCCCTTAGCATACAAATTTAATGCACAGTAGGGTATGCAAAACACTGTTACTAGAAAACCACTGCAGACATACTGAGACCTTGTACCACGGCACCTGGACTCTACAGGGACTGCTGGGAGTGATCTGGGGGGAAAGTTTATGAATAAAGAAAGGCCGAGAATGGACAAAAAGGGAGATAAAAGCATCCGAGAACATCAAGACCCAGGAAGACAGAAAATATCTCATGTGGTATAAGGAAGCCTGAGAAGTGGCAGAGAAGATGAAGGGCAGAATTAAATCAAGGAGTAAACATTTGGATTTAATAAACTGAAATCTTTATTAGCCTTTCATAATTGACCCTCACTCCTGAGGAGAGGTAAACACTCACCAGAAAGGACATTTAACATTACAATCCTGGGGCAGGAGATAGACCTTACTGTCTACAACCCACACATCTCTCATCACAGCGTGTTAAATATTGAAAGCACATCACAAGCATGTTTCTTCTGCAATCGCCGAACATCTTTGAAGCAAAGACGCTGGCTGTTGGCCAGATCTTCATGGCATAAATCAGTGTAGCTCCACTGACTTTCATGCTAATTCTCACCAGCCGAGTGTGGTCTAAGACTTCAGCATGTCACTGTTACCAGTGTTTTGTGACACTATTACTCAAACTGGCAAGAATGGATGTTATCAAGAAAAAAATTGTAAGTCTCTATGAAATCAAATGCATGCATGTCACTTACACCATTGGTTTCCCATAACGCAAACATTTTTCACTTGTGCAATTTAAAAAAGACATAAGTTAATAAACTGCCTAATGTTACACAATATTTTTCTTTCCTCTTACAATGGGATTAAACATGTGAGCTATAGTAAGCAAATGTTAGATGGACACCAAAGTCAATTTATACGCAGAAGTTTTTCAGTGCGTCTGTTTTTTTCACGTTCACATCAAGAAACAGGAAGAAATTACCTTTTTGTGAAAAAACTGTTATGAAGAAAATCGCTGAGGGTTTAAGGATGAGTCCCGTCCCACCTCCTGTGCGCACATCTAGTGCAACACCTGCTGCTAAAAGCACTTCCCTCATTGAAAACTCACCACAAGATTTTTAAAGGGGGGCACTTCATTCATATTAGTGTACAAACATATAAATCCACATCTTAAATAACCGTGTGATGCGTGCTTTCGCTGTGCTTCTACAGAGCAAAGCTATTCATTACAAAAGCCCACTTTTGAAATGATCAAGAGGTTTTTCAGGAGTCAAGACTACCCCATAGACTTATTTTGTATCAGGGGGGTCATGAATAACATGCCAAATCCTCCCCCACATCCCCATATCCCTTCATAAAAATGTGTCACCAGTACCTAATAGTTATGGAGCTGTGAAAGAATCTCCTGCTCCACTGGGGGCCAAAACTGCTTAAGAAAAACAAACTTTTTTATTATCAATTTGCTAGTGGCATTCTATGACCTGAAGACACGTATATGCACAGTATAAACATTTATTACATACTCTCTAGAATAATAAACTAAAATAATCATACACGAGACTGTTTCCTACAATAAAAAAATAGGGTGGGAGAGAGAGAAAAAACCATGGCCCTCTCCATTACTCAAACAGTGATGACAAGTAAATGAAATATCAATCATGTAAGCTGTCAACCTTTTGGGACAGCAATAACTGTTAACAAGTAGTCTGGAAAAATTGTCTGAAAATGACTTGTCCTCCACACGTGAGCATTTGAGGTTTCCATGGAAAATTAAGATGCCAGTGGCTATTTGGAACATTGTTCAGGTATTCTTTTTAATGGAAAATTTGCCAGTTATTGATCCAGAGCATGTACCCCTTGCTTTCAGAAAGCTGCAAGCAACTTTCCAATCAGTGGCTGTCAAAAAAATTACTGCCTTTTTATACTGATACAAGACAACGGCTAAAGTGCAACTCCACTGCTACTCAATGTCTGTCTTTAATTAACCGCAATGCACAACAGAAAAATAATTTTATTTACCATTCCACAATATTTGCATAATGCTAAGTATTTCTGCATACCCTTAAATAATTCCAGAACTGCCTGAAATAACTTATTGTCAAGTTCAGAAACCAAAGAACCAAAAGGTAAGAGGTGATGCATGATTCAAAACATCTTCCCCAATTGTAGCGTAATACCTGCGTGGAAGAGATCTGTATTCTTAGGGAATTGGTTTTTTTGTTCTTAAACTGAAAGAAAACCCTTCACTTTGGTTTTGGAGAATACCAGGAGAACTGGAGACAAACTGCACCATGTCAAAATTCCTAGAAATAGGAGCTGTTCAATCCTCCAAGTATTTGTTGCAGGACTCATAATACTCAAAAATGAGTATTTTTCTTCCCCAGTATATTCTTTAAGATTACAGTAGATTCATTCCTTTACTTATAGGCTAAGAACATTTTTTTTTTTCTTATAAACATATCCCAAAATGACACCTACAGGATGTTAGAAAGTTAAATCATCAATGCAACACAAATAGAAAACTAGTTTAGAACTGAAGGGAAAATTTTCAGAGAAGAAAAGCTGCTGAAGCAGAAAGAAGTCATTTACAGACATCCCATAATTTTTAAGGGAAAGCAGAGAGTTGAGCAATCATAACTCTAATGTACTGAAACTTTAACAGTAAGCTTGGAAGCATAGCAAAAAGATGACCTTACAAAGGCATGATTAATCTTAAGCCTGTGCCAGGAAAATTCAAGTTTTCTAGTTTAACAGCAAAAATGGCAGACATTGCATAAGGCAAATTGAGAGACACAAGGAATTCCAGTGGGGAGGCATCAGCAGTGATCTCGTTATATGAAACGAAACAAAAAAACCAACCCACCAAACAAGCACAAAACCCCCTTGACTACAGCAAGACTTTTCTTTCTTTCACACAGCTGTCTTATGTTCTTCAACATCAAACCTGTAATACAACTGTTTCACCACCTCTGGAAAGAAAACTGCACATGAGAGGGGCTTATTTAATAAATCCCTTGAGTTTCACAGATATCAATCACCAGCATCTGGAACCCGCACTTCTTTCCCCCCAGGATTAAGTCATAGGCAACGACTAAGGTCTCTCTGAACCAGGGTCTCCTAAGAGACCTCCAGGTGACCAACATCCAGCCCAGCATTCGCGAGAGAAGAACGCTGGGCTGCAGAAATAGTGCAGTCTCTGCAGATATCAAAAGGATCAGAATTTCGCTGAGGAAGCCTTCCTGGAGCCTGGAAAAGATGAGCCTCCTTCATAGGAAACATCAATAGTTTGATGTGTTAACTTCCCAACAGCGAATCTACTTCATTTCTCCAAACGCTAGAGAATGTGTGCCCAAGAGCGACCCATTAAGCAGTGACTTAGGCAAGACGTAGGTGATCCAAGCACGTCCCTGCTCTGCTTCCTCCACTACGGGGAACCAGAGAGGAGGAAGACTACACAGAACCAAGCCATGAAGTCCCACCAAAAGCACCTACAACTCGTACAAAACAGGGCTTGTTTCCGCTAAGTTCCCAGCTAAGACCATTAGCATAGCAAGAGGTGCACTGTATAAGGAACCGGCATTCCATCTGGCTTAGAGAAAAAATACCCATTTCTTATTTTCTTGCTTATCAATTTCATTTGAAAGGAAGCAAATGATTTTTTTTTCACTTATATCTGCAACATGAAAGACACACTGAAGCTACATTCAAATTAGTTTGTTTCAATAAGTAACCGCATACTTTATTTCTGTAGACAGATTTTATATTTATAGGTACCTAGACAGAGGTTTTACACACATCTATGTATATAAAGGCACACACAGACACACATATATCTCACACTAAAAAACAGAAAATACGTCTTTAAATCCTCTATGAATATTGAGCCTGCAGCTACAATGAAACTCTTCCGTTAGGAGGGGTGAAACAGTCTCCAGATGAAAGTAGATTTTGAAAAATTTTTAGAGCCCAGGGGTTCATTTTTAATGAGCCGTTACTTTAAGTACTGCATAAAAAATACAAGAAATTGATAGTCCATTTAGCCTGCACTATACCTAATGCAAAAGTCATTAAGATGCATTATTCTTAATGTTTATGATATGATCAGTAAGTGTACAAGTCTTTTTTTTTTTTTTAAAAAAGTCAAGCATGTCCATGTATCTCATGTCATAGTTTTTAAACACCTAGACTTAATACAGGAATATTGTAGTGTGAACACTGCAGCTTACGTTAACACTTTGATACAAGCAAAATACAAACTGACAAACGTGGAAAATACCAGCATTTGTTATACCTACATAGGACAGCATGGCTTTCATTTCTTCATCGCTTCTGACAGTAATCCGATCACCATCCTCATCTTCATCTAACAAAGAAATGTATTACATTCGTGAACAATGGAAGAAGGATATTTATAATTTTAATATTTAAGTTTCTTTACCTGGGCTTTTACAAGCAAATAAAAATAAGAAGAAAGTGTAATGCAACTACACAGGTAACAGGTACTCTGGAATGATAATGTATGACGACTCCAAACACTAATTAACAAAGACTACAATAACATCTAAAACAGGGGCACAACCAAAAAGCTCAAAATTATGTCCTCAACAGTTCTTCTACTGCCAGAGCTTCTCCAGAAGCGGAGAACCTTACACATGCTGTAACACTCCCCGCTGAAACCCATCAAGGTATTCTTTTGACACAGCAAACAGAAAGTAAAGTTTCTGAATGTGCTTTGATCCTCCCAGATAGAGTTGTTTTGGCAATTTCTTTCATCAGAATTACTAGAAATTAAAAAAATAATAATAAATCAATTGTTTTCTTCCCACTAACACCTTCTGGTCTTACTGTCACCCTACCTCAACTCACCTGCTCTGTGTCAAGTTCCTCCCACCCCTCTGCCCCATCCCTGTTACAAATGCCCGGGCAGCTCTGCTTCTTCACGACACTGCAATGCCAACTTAAAAACGGTAACCTACAAGCGGACACAAAACCGCAATATTTATAAAGGGAGATTTAGACAAAGGCAGAAGTTTGTGAACAAGCAAGACCAGCCTGTGTCTTTGCTCCTCGTGCAACTGGGGGCACGGAGGTGGCAGGAGGCACGAGCAGCACTAACTACCAGGCAATCGCGGTTGCGTGATGATGGCTCAGGCACGGCCGCAAACACGCAGACACGGCACTTCTGACCTGAGGAAAGAGGTTGCTGTAGAAAGAGAACCAGAGGAAAGGCAGCAAGATTCAGAAAGGCTCCAGCAGAGCAAGGCATTCGGAAAGAGTTATTAATATGAAGATCTGAAGGAGAAATAAGCTTTCCAAAGACATATGGCGGGATTCAGCAGGTGCAGGTTTACCAGGGGGCTCAATCCCCGCCATTAGCACCAGCTGGTGCAACAACACGCTCCAGTGTCACACGCGGCAGTTGCTGAGGCACCCGTGCAGCTCCTCCACCGCTATGGGAGCCGTGTCCATCCCCTGCGGCTCTTCCACCGCCAGGTTCCCCCCCCCGCCGCCTCTCCCCCGGCTAGGGGCGCCGTGTCCACCCCGTGCAGCTCCTGCCCCCCGACGGGAGCCGTGCCCACCCCGTGCAGCTCCTGCCCCGGCCCTCACGAAGAGCTCGTACACTTTGACCGACAGGAGAGCTGCACCACTCGCCAGAGGAACGGAACAGAGCCCTCCCCTCCAAATCAGTTACAAAACGTTAATTTATTTTTATTGCTCTAGCTTTGGGGGAGAACGGAAGGGCTAATGATCTGTCTCCATTTTTTGCCTGCTGCAATTTAAACATCTTCTTAGATACTTATAAAAAAACCAAAAAAGACAAAGAAAAAAATGCCAACAAAGTACATTGGTGCATAGCCCAGTTTTACATCTGTTTTTTGCCTTTGGACAGGGAGCTCTTTGAAAATAAAACAACAAAACATCCAACTGATACCAAAGAATGGCTGACAAATTCACATGCCTTTTTTGGCCAGAAAACATCTACTGTGGGGAATCTCAAACGCACGAGCCCATTTGAGTCAGGATATTTAAAAGGCCCGAGACACCCACCTCTTCCTGAAAGCTGATGGGGCTCGGTGTGTCAGGACATGTCCATGCACACGAGGACAGAAAGACCAGAACAATTCTGCCCATACTCCCAGTTGCAAGCCAGCTGGTCTCAAAGCCGTATGGTTGCAAAGGGAAAGCACTCTGCCCGAGCTAATGAGCACCAGGAAATCAAGGAGCAACATACATACCGCATTCCGAACACCTGTGAAACACCAAAGGGTGAGGAGGTGGAGATGAGTGAGTGCATGTTTGCTCCTGACCAGCTCAGGATGCGAGCAGAGGCTGGGGAAGTCTGTCTGTCTGTCTCCATCTCTACAGACATACTCTGATAGGCGTGCTCTCTGCAATCACAGCCCCTGACTGTTCCAGGAGCATTAAAAAGTGCCATTATGTCCCTGGATGAAAACTCACTCTTGCTCGTAGTTTTGCAAAGAATCTGGGAACAGACCTGAATCAACAAATTAAAATTACCCGAGAAAAAGACTTTGTTCATTTTGCCTCTGAAAACCCAGCAGGTAATTCTGAGGCTACATAACAACAAACCAATGCAGAAGAGGGAGCAAAACAAGAGACACATAAGAAGGAAAAAAAAAGTAACATAAAAACCTTAGAATTACACTTTAAAAATGTACTGGAAGAGAGCTATGGGACACTGGAAACACGGAAGCTGGAAGAGGAACTCAACAGCACAGCGATGTCCTACAAGCGCTTTGTCTCATGGAAATTTAACTGGTGAATTGCCAGATTGCTCAAACGACTTGTTAGGGTTACCAGCCTGCAGCGAGTCATGAATGATGAAAAGATTAAGAAGAGTTAGTGAGTTGAAACTGAATGCTTCCTTGCCTGGAAACATTTGAGGCAGAAAGGAGGAGCTGTAAAACTGCTACCTGGCCGAAACCCAAGTCCCAGTCGCAGTGTGTAACAGAGTAAGGAAGGCTGAAGAAGCAGCTGTTGGAATAGCGAACACAAGGAAGACCATGCATCAACAAGAAGGGATCAGAGTGAAATGCAGAAGAGGGGAAACATATGACAGAGACAAACAAATACATGCAGATAAAAGCTGTTAAACAAGCCTGGCCTGAGGGAACCAACTGAGCTAGGACCACCAAAAATGGGGGAAAAAAACCCAAAAAAACAAAACCCACCACGCTGGGAAACTCTTAGAGCCCACATGCAAAATGTTTACTAAAGAACGATTTAAAAAAAAAAAAAAAATAACGTTTTTCATTTCAAATTATTAGAAGATTAACTCTGAAGTTCTCAGAACTGCACAATTCCTGATAGTGGTACAAAGAGAATAAATTAAAAATGCGTTGATGAAGAGACAGAAGATGTTACCTGGCACTAAAAAAACCCAAATCTAAAATAGCCAGTCAATGCTTGTAAAGAGCAAAACCAGGAAAAAAAAAAAAAAATATTTCTCATATCTGTGCAGAGATCCTTTGCCATCCTACCATGACATTTAAGTGGGCACAGCCCAAAACCCAGCTAGATATGCCACACGGGTTCAGAAAGATTTCCAGGCTTCTCTACTTGCCTAGAGCACAGCAATACGATTTTCCAGCACATTAGGAAAGCAAAAGTAGAACCAAAAAATCCTACGTATTGGCTGGATTTTGCTAATGTCACTTAAAATGGAGGAAGAAATCCTCGCAAGATACCAAATAGAGTGCAGCAGATGGTAAACAAATATTATGAAGCAATCTTCACAAAATCTGCAGTGTGTCACAAATATACAAAATGGCAGAGTTTGGATAAAAGGATCATAACAGGCCATATGTTGTTAGCAATTTTATTTGTAGCGATGTGTAATACAATGGTGAAATCCACATAAAGGTCCAAGAGTAGGAGAAGTGCAGCCCCAGGTAGGAGCTGCAATGGATGGTACGCTGTAGATAACAATAACTAAACAAACAGTAGAAGAGCCTGCACTGGATGGCAATTATCCACATCCGAAGAAGCAATGAAGCAGGTGAGAACGAAGCTTAAGCCAGTAAAATCTAGGCATTTGATATGGAAAAAGTAACCAGAAAAATCACGCATCAATATACATAACATATTTTAGATGCCAGTTAAATGGCAGGGGAAATGGTTTTGTGCAGATGTAAATGACAGACTAGAGACATGAACTGAAAGCACAGAAGCAGATGTTAGAAGACACAACGAAATAAGTATTTCCAGGGAAGTTCTACACATGGTACCATTAATATGGGCTACTGCCCTGATTGCAGCAACTGCTACTGGTGCATGAAGTTCAAACAAAGCTAATGTGTGATGTGGGAGGTACGTAAAAAAAAAAATTAACAAATCATAAAAAAAAAAAAAGCAAGGTCTGGAGCCCGGTCTCTTTAGAAGAGTCTTGTTTTAAAAAGTAGGGCAGGAGAAATGCCGAGGCTACAGAGAAATAACACTTAAAATCTCCATTCATAGGTTTCTGGCCTTTTAGGGGGGGAAATCACAAACATATAAAAAGAAAAGCGGAAAGGTCTAAATAGTACCTGAAGGACCATAAAACAATGCTTCCTTTGATTATCTAGATGCAGAGGTATCAACAAAGCTCTAAAAAAGCAAGAAATGCTAACAGGAATACAAGGCCCTATCTTGTTCTATCTGCTCTCTCACCTTCAGCATCACTACCTTACTCATACAGCACATCTAATCCCCTCCAGCTCCTTCTTGCTATTTCATCTCTATCAAAGAAAAAACACAGAGATATGCAGAAAAAAAAAATAATTAAAAGGAAACAGCAGGAGTCCTCCTCCACTTGGAAGAAAATTCTAGCATAGAATCTTATCCCCTAAGATACAGATGTTTGACTCCCCTTTGCAGCTTCTTGCTCTCCAGATAGGACAATCCCCCAGGCATCCCTCCAGAAGTAAAAAATAAACGGGGTTCAAAGAACAAAGCTGAAATAGATATTAGCAGATATAGGACTACATCTGCGCTAACAACCACCGACAGCTTTCCTAACTCAGCAAAAGCGTAACATAACCATCTTCACGAGCTGTAAGTGCTGCTATGGACAACCCCAATGTACAGCTCGCTCAGATCCTACACCTTTTTTCCAGCTTCTCAACCAGACCCACACAGCCTTTTAGTAGTTATTGCTACAGCCCAAGTCTAACCGGTGGCATTTTCCTGCAGCCCTCCTACCTCCTCCAGGAGCTACAGCTGAATAGCTACCAAGACCTCCCATTCTCGCACAGCAGACAGAGAAGATGGTGTATTTAGCTTGAGCCCAGAAGGAAAAAAGGAAAACTAAAAACACAGCAGCCCTTCTAGCAAATAAGGAAACGTTAACTTCTAATGCTGCTATATTTTGTTCAAAATCTGTACATTGTACCATATTTCTGTAAAAGCTGTTGCTCTTTTGGTTTCTTCCAAGGGGGAATTAAAATTTTAAACTGAGACCTACAGGTACTTTATACTTTTCATTTAATTTGAGCAATACAATTGCAGTGAGAAGAGCGAGCATGGTAAGGTCATGCTGGTAATTAAAGCTATATTGTAGAAATATGCTCATTCAAGATGTGATTAAATAATAAAATATTGCTTAGTTCAGTATCATCATTAAACTTGCATTAATGCATAAATATTTAACTGTAACATATAATGAAGGTAAACACTATTTATTTTAAAAACGTCATCCCTATAAGGTGACAAAGGAGACAGTTTATACAAGTCATACTTACACTCAAATGCCGTTGTCGTTGCATCTGGCAAAACTTGACCGATGACATCCTAAAAGGTAAAGAAGAATTAGCTATATATCAAATGGGAAACGCCTGAGATGATTTAGAGTAAATCATCTTAATCACTCCCCAGCTGCAGGCTGAAGACATGAAAGACCTGCTACTTGCCTCTGCCCCAAAATTATAACTTTTTAACACACAATGCAAATCAGTACAAATCATGGTGCTCTTCTCCTTCCTCTCCACATTACCTTGAGGAAAACTGTTTTCTTTTCAAATAACTCAATCATAATCGCAAACAAGCCAGTGTTGTCTGTTCTTGCAGCCTAAAGAATCGATTTTGTCCGTAGGTGATAGAAAAACATACATTAACTCATTGAGGTAAATCATAAAATCAGAGGTTTATGAATAGCTTTTTACTTGAGAAAGCACATTTTCTCTCCCAGTCCTTCTGCTTACATCACTCCGATTCCTCCTCACCACCTCCAAACAACTACCCCGGTTCTCCTTCCCACCACAAGGTAACCTCACCACACGGCTCCATCTCCTGCCCTGCCTACAGCTCAGAACGCCAGGGTAACAACCAGCTCCGGGTGGGTTTGGGGCTGCCATCACAAATTAAAAACAGTAGCTGTGAGACTGAACGAATTTTTGTTGCTTTCGCTCCACGACTGCCCGGGAAAGCGTCAGGACCCAGCAGCTGCACCGAGCTGCCTGCTGCTGCCTCGCAAAGCAGCGCTGCGTCTCAAGATGCTCCCCACGCCGTGCAAGCCGGAAAGTTTGGAGGGCTCTTTTGTCATTCTTAATTGGAATTTAAACTTCTTCAAAACTTGGTAGACAGATTCAAATACGCTGGCTGCCCTCACGGAAATCATTTTAAAATTCCTGAAGAAGCGGAAGTACTATCCTGAAAGGTAACCTCCAGCCTTGGTTATATACTAATACATACCACCATAATAATATGCTAATAATATATAACCATATGACATGCTAATACAATTATCATAACACCTTGCTTATATGCTAATACAAGCTCTTCCTGTACAACTAAACTGAAAGGAGGGGAGGGTTTTTTGCTTGGTTGGGTTTTTGTTATTGATTTGGGTTTTTTTGTTTGGTTTTTTTCGTTGTTGGTTGTTTTTCCCTCCCCCCCCCCCCCCCCCTTTTTTTTTTTTTTTTTTTAAGTCTTTGCCTACAGCATTTATTCAAAATTCAGTGAAAAATCTCTGCTCAGCCTGAAGTCATCCCGGCCTCCCTGGGTATGTGCTGTCGTCAGCCTTTGCGAGGCTGCAATATGTCATGTCAGGGCACGGCATAAATGCACAGCATGGTTCTTTCCTTCCTGCTGCCCGATTTCTCATGTCAGACAATCTCTCCACTGACAATGTCACAAAGTGATTAGAAATTAATGAACGACAATGTTTATTGTAGCACGTACACTGTGAGCATCTTGGGGTGCTCAGCACCCCCCTGTATGAAAGCTTTAGTGATCACTGTCCTGTCACTTTTGTTTTCTCTATTTTTTTCATTAATCTAAAAGTAGGAAATTAAACGTTCTGTGCAATTTCAAAAAGATACAATTAATACAATGAGAAAGCAGCAAAATCAACCTCAAGATTTCCATAGAGCTAACTGAAGCACATAATATTTCTAAAGCTTTCTCATTTTGTCTTTTCATTTTAGATGCTAAAATAACTCAATAGTATGCAGTTTAAACCATTAATTGTATACAAAAAGACAAAAGATGTGCAATACAGCTTACTTAATGATGTAGACTGTAAATCTGTGGAGCCAAAAAAGGAAAGAACAAAACAACAAAAAACCACCCCAAACCACCAAACATTGTCCGGTCAACAAAAATTCCTCCATTTAAATACTTCTACAGGGTTTGACAGCTCTGTCTGCCCTCTGTCAAAAGCCAGCCAGGCTGTACCCTCTACTCCTAACAAGAAATTAAAATCTTGCCTAAACAGAAGACTGTGCTGTTAACTAATTAGTTCTAAATTAGTTAAACATTGAAAATTCCTCAGCAAACACACTTTAATTGTGTTAGATTTAAGCCACTTGTAAAACGTTCTTATGTGGACACATAGATGCTTCCACTAAATGGATTTCAAATTTGTTTTCAGGAAAGGACCCCAGGTCTGGGGCATTTACAAACTGTATTTAAGAGGTGTGTGAGTACGCCACTGAGACAGAGACAGTTCTGACAGCCCCAAACGTCTGCTAGGAAAGCTCTAAGACTCCCACAGCTGCGACAGCACTGACACAGTGATAGGAGACTCTTTTATATTTTTTTTTCCTATTCAGAATAACTTTTCCTACATATTTAGATTCTTTAAAATGAGTAATAACTAAGTACATGAATTAAAGAACTATATTTAGCGTCAGAGTTATAGTGTAAATAGTTAAAAAGAAAACTCTACCAACAGCCACAAAACCTTTGCTCTAGTCAACTTCCAGTATTTCTATTTAACAGATGCACCTGAGAAAAATTAGCCTTGCAGGAGGAAGGAGGGAGGGAGCAAAATCACACCATTACTCTGTTGTTACCATAGTATTTTCATCAGCTGCATAAGACCTCCATGCTCAAACATTCGGCAGACCTTCCAGTGACCCAAGCTTAAAGGATTACTCTAAATTTCAACGGATTAGGCATGATGATTTTCTACTATCACAACGGAGATCACAAGCAATAAAATACTATGACTTGCAGACATTGTTCAAGCGGGCTCACATACACCATAGCTTCTATTTTATCTTATAAAACTGCAAAGCCTCTAACAATGAAGAGGGGAAAAAAATATCATCAGGAAACAGCAGCTGAAACAAGAACTCCATCAAATCTGCTCTCCAGAAGAGCTGTGGAGCACTTATCTCTCAGAAAGCAGAAAATGTGAAAGCACTGCCTTTAACAAAAGTGTAAATATTGAAACCCTCACTCTTATTTCAGTTAAAACTTTTTATGTCAGTATGACATCATGAAGTTATCCTGAATTAACACCAAGTGCTTAAATACTCCAGTGACAGTTAGGGCAAATGAATCTAGACAGCCTGATGAAAAAAAAAAAATAAGCTTATTGTAATTCATTTAGCGGTGCCTTTAAAATAAATCTGTTTACTACTGGGAACTTAGAGGTCTGCAAAGCTGATATACACAGAACATATTTAAAGTGACATCATGAAGAACAGCTCGTAGCACCCAGTTTAGGAAAGTAATCAAGAAAACGCCTAACCTAAAGCATACAAGCAGTGCTGCTTCCACAGGTCAAGCAGTGTCCTTACCGAGTCAAGGCCAACCACCAGCACCAACACGCTGCTACCACGTTTTCCAGTTTGAAAACATAGTTTAGTACCTCTGAAGTCCCCTCCAAGAGACAGTATTAGAGCAGCTAAAATTTAAGAAATTTATCATTTACTGAGTATCAGACTCGGGACTCCAACAGGTTATTCTACAGCGACGGACAGGATAGTTGGAGGCTCTATACCGCAGTTTCTTCTCTACAAAAGGAAGATGTGTGCCAGCCTGAAATCCTGCAAGGCTACACTCATCTGTATTCACAATGCTGTTCACAATTCCAGGATGCTAAATTAGTCAAAGTAACGTTTAAAGAAATCTTGCTGTTCTCAAAGATAATTTTATGGGGCATTCTTAATACAAAGCAGAACATGGGACCTACCTTAGAAGGAAGGACAGCCTTACTACACAGCTGATTTAAGGCTCCCCTAAGGCCCCAGTTCCCACTGATGCTACAGATCTGGAGGTGTGCACCTGGGTTTTGGGACTGCCTGGCAAACGTGTTTCCGCAGTTTGGTACTTCCCATCAATCCACGTGGACTGCAGGTACATGGAGCAGGCTCCAGCCTGCTGTGCTCTGGACAACACCACACAGAGAGCTAAACAGTCCTAAACAGGACAAGCTACCAGGATTATTCAGAGCTCAATTATGCCCTAAGCAACAGGAGCTGAGAAAAAAAGGGAGAACCTTGCATTCCTGCGTCTTCAATTTAGAGAGAGATGGACAATAAGGGAAACAGTGGGGTCTGACTGGATTATTACTATTCGTTAATTTACCTTCATAGGGAATGTCTCAATTCTCCACGCTATCTTTAATTGATACTCTAACACATAAGCCCTCTGTAATTGCCTACCAGGTGAGTGGAAATTACAGTGAAGGCAGAAGGACAACAGAAGACAGGGTCAGCCCCACTCCTGCCCTCCCCCCCCCAGCCACAGGCAGTGCCAGATCTCCCACACTTCAGTCTACGGAGCCTTACTTCATTTAATTTCTGTGGTTACCAGATAAATTAAGTGCACGTGCATACTGTGATGGCACCTCCTGAAACACAATCAGTTAGACAAACGAGGGCCTTGAGACAGTGCAGACCTTATTAAACTTCTTCCTCCTTCTCTCAGCATTTCACAGGCCACAGGCGAGGGGGTTTTGACGCGAAAATGACAATCATCGAATGGTGCTACTGCACGGGCACACTCCCAGCTGAACACTGTCATAACACCCATCATCCCCACATCTGAGATTTCCACTGACGGCAAGAAATGTGTCATCACCTACTGACTCACTATACGTAATCCAACACTTCCAGTCAGGACGGAGGTGCTGCAGTCACCGCTACCCTCAATGCAACAGCCAAACAGTGGGTAACTGAAAATTATCATCACCAACACATCTGTGACCTGATGCAGAAATCTATCCACTTTCACTCGACAAAGTGAGACATTTCAACCCAGGAACCATTCATATTCTTCTAGCAGTGGGTGGAAACAATTCAGCGCGCTGGAGATAGACCTGCATCTGCAGAGGAGCCGGATCAAGAGAACCACAGGCGACCTGCGGCAGCTGCACCTTCTCAGAACACTGTTACCCCAGTGATCTCAACCTGCGCCACGCAGAAAAGCGAACGGCACGCGTGGGGCACCCAGCTGGTGAGGTTCTCCATGGTGCTCTGCTGTGCGAAGTGAAACAGCTGCTCAAGGGCACACTCTGCGCTTCATCCGCTGTGCCCAGTTGGGCTAGCAGCGCC